GTGTTGCCAGTAGGCAATTATTTGAATACAAGTACACACACAAACAAATCATAGTACAGAGAACATGGAATCCACAAACCAGCCGTTCTATCTACTCCATCCACTCCTCTATCGCTTCTCTGGTGTACATCACATGTTCCGATGCCAAGCTGTCCGCAAACCCAGAACCGAGGAGGGAATAATTCCCACGAGATGATAGCTCTGGCTTTTCACCATTCCCCTCAAACGTAGAGCCCGGCAACAGACTAGCAACTGCACAGCGCTGCTGCTGCTGCTGCTGCTGCCGTCCCACCACAGATCGTCCTCCAAGTTTCCCGCTGTTGTCAAAGTGGAAGGGATGAGAGGTGCTGGAGAGAAAACCAGCTTGAGGGATTACAGGAGACTGCGGCAGCACCTGAGAAAGAGTGCTGCCAGTGGCACCAGCAGCAGCATACGCCACGTGGGCAGGCACAGCAGGCGGAGGGAGGGTGACGTCAGCATCCCTCTCCAGCCATTCCAACCCCGAAATAGCGGATTCAACCGCAGAGTTGGAGAAAGAGCCCAAAGAGGAGGAGCCCTGTGGGAGCATGAAAGGCATCCCTGGGGCTTGAGTGGGAGGGGAGAGAGGGGTGGGGGACCACTTATTGGGGAGGGCTCCGGGGGCTTTAAGAGACGGGGAGAGGGCCGTGGGGGAGGGGAGCCACGGCAGCCATGGCTTGTCGTCCGGGCTCCAGCAAAGATTAGTTGTCCTTGTCTCGCCACTCTCAGTGTTGCCCTCCTGCTGCACGCCCCCCTGCTGCTGCTGCTGCTGCTGCTGCTGCTGCTGCTGCTGCTGCTGCTGCTGCTGCAGGAGAGGGTGGTTGGTGTTGAGGTGAGATGTGCCCCACATCTCCCACTGGGCTGCTGCTGCACCCCCGCTTGCTCGCTGCTGCTGCTGCGGCTGCTGCTGGTGCTGCTGCTGGTGCTGCTGCTGCTGGTGCTGCTGCTGGTGCTGCTGCTGCTCTGGCTGATTGTGGTAATGCTGCTGGATCTGCTGGTGCTGCTGCTGCCATTGATGCTGGAATGACTGCACGTGCACGGGGGCAACAGGGCTCGCAAGAGTCTTACCCGCAGAGAAAACAGGTGAGGGGAGAGTGTAGGAAAGGGAGGGGGAGAGCGAGGAAGGGGATGGGGAGAGAGGGGGAAGGGAGGGTGTGGAGGTGGGGAAAGAGCTGGAAACAACGGGAGGGGCGGAAGGGGATGAGAGGGATGAAGCAAAGGATGAAGTGGCACCGTTACTCCTGCTGCTGCTGCTGCCACCACTGCTGCTGCTCCTGCTAACTGCGTTGCTGCTGCTGTCACTTCCGCTGCCGCCGCCGCCGCCGCCGCTGCAGCTGCTGCTGCTGCTCTCCCACCCGTTGGCCTCGCTGGTATCAGAAGAAGGCTTGGACTGGCGGGATTGGCGGGCTGCAGGCTTGGAAGTATAGTCACTCTCGCCACTGTCACCCTCGCTTCCAGCAGCCTCGTTTCCTGCCGCCACGAGCATGAGTTGATCAATCAACTGCGACAGCTCAGGTGGAGACAATTTGGTCAACTGGGTCAACTGAGTCAACTGCGCCAGCTGCTGCTCCTCAGTCTTCCGATCAGTCACGGTCATATTCTGGTGTGGCAGTTCCACGTCAGCTTGCACAGACGTGGCTTCGACATCCGACGCGGATTCTCCCTGGCGCGCGTCTGACGTGGCACGCTCACGCCTCGCCCGTCGTTGTTTCCTGAAAGCCCTCTTCCGCGAGCGCTCTTTCTCGGAAGTTTCCTTCTCTGCAAGCAAGCCGTCAATTAGCTCCGGAACCTCCATAACTTCCGGATTTTCCGCCGTCGGCTGCGTTGCCACGTCACTCTGCGACTCAGCCGCGTTGCTCTGCTCAATCGTTTCGTTCTCCTCCCTCTCTTCGTTATTATCACATCCGCTGAGCTCCTCCGCTTCGAATTCAGCTTTCCCGCCGCTGCCGCGGCCTCCCTTGCCAAGCCGCGCTCCCTTCTTCCCCTTCCCGCCGCGCTTCCGCGTCCTTTCTCCCGCCTCCCGCGCGCACACAATCCCCGTTCCTTCCGCAAAAGCGGAATCCAAAATGGAAGTGGAAGCGGAATCGGCGGTTAAATGCCTCTGGATTTGCATCCGCGATACAAGGAGACCCCATGCTGACGCAAGCATCCACACGAACAAACGAGCGACGACGGCCGGGATTTGAACGCAGAGGAAGAGAAGAGCCTTGATAGTCACGGCAGCGCGGACAGCTGTAACAACGACTGTAGCTGCTACAGAGCTCGTTACAGTCGTTACTGTAGTTGTTACCGTTACTCTTGCGGACACCATCAGTTTCCAGCACGAGCGAGTGACGGCCATTCTTGCAGAACTGAGGCCGCTTCGCACGCCTTGCGAAGCGAACGTCGCCTTCTCGCAGGCGAGTCTTCGCATGGACTGTAGATTTTCGCCAAAGCTTTGCGCGATGCTTCTTCTGGTAACCACCTCGTCTTCGCAACATGTCGATTGTCCCATCTCGGTTGCTGCACACGACTTGGTAGCCGAACTGGTTACCATCTCCGTGCGAGATTTTCGCAAATCCCCAGCATCGCTGCTGCTGCGCGTTCTCCGCGCCTCTACCGCCTGCAGCATGCGGCGCTTGCGGTTGAAGCTCTCGCGCTTCGCCTGTATCGTCTGCAGGCCGGGGAGGTAACACGTGTACCAAACAAGAGCGATCGCTTGCGCGACGAGCATCGGCGGGGAGGTGAGATCGATGAGCGATCCGACTGGGAGCAGAAGCAGCGGCACGCCGAAGCTGGCGAGAACGAGGATGAAGCGCGGGATGAAGAAGAGGAACTTGACGAGGAAGTCGAGGAGCGCGCACGCGACGCAGATGCTGACGGTGCGGCCGCCGTAGGTGACGGAGAAGACGATTGCGTGCTGCCGCGCGCAGAGATTCGCGCGGCTGGGTGATGACGTGGAGGTGGTGATGATGGAGCGCGGCGGCTCTTGAGATGATGTGAAGGAGGAGGATAGCTGTGCAGGCGCCATTGGAACTAATTAATCTCTGAGAGAACCTCTTATATCTGTTCGGCAGCAGCTGTAGTAGGAGCAATTTAGAGCTGGTGATTGCTAAGAGCGAAGGTGTTTTAAAGAGAAGAGCCTTTGGTAGATAGACTAGACTGCTCTGCTCTAAAAATATGAGCTGACGGTGGAAAGCCGAATCTGGGATGGATCGATGGGACGAAACCCTTGCTCTAGAATTGAACGGAGAGCAGTCTTTAGTACCCGCAGGATGATGGGAACGCGTTAGTCTGGTGAATGCGAGGTGGCGTAGAGAGGAAAGCAAGACGCTAGTTCCCAGAGCCTTTCCATGAAGGGAGATTTGTCCATGTGGAACGCGATGGGCGTCTGACGAGCGGCATTCACGGAGAAAGCTCGTAGGACTACCTAGAGAATGGATGAGTGAAAGGATGGGCGAGCATGGGGATGTGGATGAAATTATTGAGGTGATGAATACCATGAGAGGGAGTAGAGTACGGTTATGCATGGTTTGTTCAGGCTGGGATGGAATGGAACACGATCATATTGCTGGCGGAGGGATAGGCGCAATGCTTGCCGAATGCGAGGAGGGGCGAATTTGCTCCGCCGCGCGCGCGATCCGCAATTCGAGGTGTGCTTCTGCTGACTGGGATTTCCTTCCCCTCCCCCGCCCACACCACGCCACCCCCCACATCAGCTCGATTATGGCGGGGAAAACCCTCGTGCATGGTGCATGCGCTCGTTTGCGCACGCATGGAGCTGCCTGCCGAAGTGGGGGCAAAGCAATCTGCTTTGCCTGGGGAATGCCGCGGGGTCTGGGCTCCGCGTGGAGCGCGACTTCGGCATTAACTACACAGGATGCCCGCTAGATACCCACAACTTTTCTCCTCATTTGGGTGATTAGTGAGCAACAAGCATTTCGCCTAACTCGCCAACGTTCGCCACTGGCAAAATCGGGACAGTAGTGGGCAGGTGTAACCAGCGTCTCAAAATATCTCACTAACGGACGGATGCCAGCGTGATAAGGTGGGTGTTCAACGGCTGCGATCAAAATGAGGGCTTGTATCGTGCGTGCAACTGGCTGGTACCAAATGCAATTGGGCAGGCTGTCGAATATGAGCGGACCAAATGTGCGTGCAACAGCTGAGCATCCTGTGTAGCGGGATTGGTTGAATTTCGCTGCGCTTGATGCGGATTTCGTTCCCCCTCCAGCCACAACCAGAAGAGTCAAGGGCTGAGGTTGGGTAAGTGGGCTCAGGGGAAGAACACAAAATATGTGGTCAGAAGCGGTTTGTTCAACGGCTGCGATCCTCCATGCGGATTCTTTTTCTCCTATCGGACCACAGCACACACGATTGTACACTGCAATAATGCAAACCGAGTTTTTGCAGCGCGCAACAGACCCACAAATACAGAACGTCAAAAGAAAATAGAATTTCCGCACTGACGCGTTCAAATCGTACTTCTTCGTTGGCTCCGCCACCAGTGCTAGCCACACCTACCCCTGCGGGCGGAGACAAAGGAGCTTGACTCCAACGCGGACCAGTCACAGGGCAGAGTTCGGCTCGAGGGCGGACGGTTCAAACTTCGAACGCGTTTCGCCCGTCTCGGTTGGACGGCGTGACATCCGCCATCCCGTGGGTTCCGCAACACACAGCTGTGGGAGGGAGGAAGGGGGGTCACAATAATTGGGGTGGGCAGATTGTAAAAAAAATCCATATATATTGATGAAATAGTGTAAAGTATTTACCTGACAGTGTAGCAAATAGAACGGCATTCAAGCCTCATGTGCGTGTTGCGATGAGCTCAACGGCGAGAACTCGACTCCTCGACAACACCACACACCACTCCACTCCAATTTCGAGAATTTCGCCGCTTATTACGTCTGAAATTCATAATTTCACCTTGTCTCATCGTCACATTCGCCGCCAGTCTTCCTCGTGTCTCGAACAAAAAAGGCGTACTATATTCGAACGCCACGATGAACGGCACAGGCACCGCGGGCGCGGGACCGCAGAGGAAGTCGACGGGGAACGAGATGAGCGAGAAGCTGCTGCAGGGCTGGGCGATGCTCGCCATGCACTGCCCCGTGTGCTTCAACCCCATCCTCCGGAGCAGGTGCCGCTCTGTCCTCGCTATACGCCACCCCGTAAATTTGAAGCTTCGCGCGCGTGATTTGCAAAGACCGTGATTTTCATAATGTAATATTTCAATCTGTTACAATCTCCCCGCTCGTTCATCTTACCGATTCCCTCCGCGTCCATTCCCCAACATTTCCCACCTCCACCTCCCATTCCCTTGTTTTCCCCTTCTCCCAACCCCGAGCGCTCTAAGGCCCTAAACCCTTTTCAACCCCAAACCCCTCATATCACTTCCTCTTAAACCCTCTCCCGGGCTGTGAAACCATCAGGGCGGGAGAGAAACGGTGCGTCGTTTGTGATCTGCCCGTCATAGAGGAGGCTGATGCCCCGCCCCAACTGACGTCAGCAGCGCCACAAGAGCCAGCTCAGCAGCAGCAGGGAGGAAGGACCGAGGAAGGTGCGACAGGCTGGGAGAAGGAGGAAGAAGCAGAGAGGGAAAAGAGCAGAGGTCAGAGAGAAGGAGGGGTGGAGAGGGCAGACGTGGATGGGCTTGTATCAGGGACGCCATTAGAGAGGACGACTGGAGGGCAGCAAAGACAAGATTTGCTGCCCATCGGCACAGTACCTGCTGCAACGCCTGGCACGGCAGCAGCAGCAGCAGCTGCCACTGCCGTTCCCTCGGCTGCCGGAGTAACGGCGAGTTGCCCTGTCGCTCCCCTCCTGCCACCCTCAACTTCGCACCCCGCCTCTCTGCCTGCCCCCGGCACATTGCCCCACAAACCGGACACATCTTCCTCCCCACGGGACGCGTCTATGAGTGCGTTGAACGCAGCAGCTAACGACGCCCTTATTGGCGCTCTGCGGGCCGTTGTCACGCAACTGCAGGTGAGCTCGTCTCGTCGTGTTGCCTCCTGGGCTGCTTCACAACCAATTCACACGCACGCAGGGCTGCTTCCCATCCCACACACACGCAGTGAGCGCTCGTGACGATTGCTCTTCATCACTCACAGTCGAATGCTGCTGTTTCCACTCACACTCACTCCCCTTTTTCATCACACTGCACCCCTCCCTCCCTCGCTCCAATCACCATTCTACTGTTCTTCACCTTTTCTCTATCGCGTCAAATCCTCATTCTCGCATTCACATGACATGACCCGGTGCCTTTCAGAGAGCAGAAGGTGTTTCTTGAGTTGACTTAGAAATCACCTCCGGCGGTTTCTATCCCTCGTTTCTCCAAACATATGACCTGCCTCTGTTCCATTCAGAGACCTGCGAGCGCATCTCAATCCCTTCTCCTCCTCCTCCTATCCCTTTTCACCCCTTTTCACCCCTTTGCACTCCCTTCTCACATGACGTGCCTCTATTCCATGCAGAGAGCTCAACGAGCTCTGGATTCCGCCTCCGACTTACAGCAGACGCATCAGGTCGGTGTGCTGAGTCACCAGGTGGGCCTGCTGAGTCAGCAAGTAGTCAGTCAACCGACACCTTTCGGCCTGCGACCCTTCTAGGCCGCTTAAGGCCTCGCCTAGAAGAAGGGCGAAGAAAGAAAAATGTCAGTCAAAGCCCTCTTTGCCCCGAGAGAGAGCCCATGACCGTCCCCGTGCCCTCGCCTTCTTCTCCCTCTCGTGTCCTCGCCTGCTAGCCACCACATCAGAGTCGACTCAAAAGTCACCCCATGACAGTCTCCGTGCCCTCGCCCTCGCCTTCTTCTCCCTCGTGCCCTCGCCTGCTGGCCTGGCCACCACATCAGAGTGTGCAGTGTGCACGTGCTATCAAGGAGAGTGTTGAGGCCACTGAAAGCCCCTTCCCCTGTCCTGTCTTCCCCATCTCTCCCCTGGTGCCCTCGTGCCTTCCCCTGCTAGTCATCATCAGGGACGCTTTGGGGGGAACGCTATCAAATCCGCTATGAGGGGTGATGGGGAATGGGGACATCTGAGCGGTGCCTTCCCCTGCTAGTCATCATCAGGGACGCTTTGGGGGGAACGCTATCAAATCCGCTCAGACGAAGGCACCCCCATTTCCCCCATCTCCCCTGCCTCGTGCCTTCACCTGCCTCGTGCCTTCACCTGCCTCGTGCCTTCACCTGCCTCGTGCCTATCAAATCCGCTCAGACGTCCCCATTCCCCCCATCTCCCCCATCACCCCCCTCCCCTCCCCCTCTCATGCCTTAGCAGGTGTGTACCATTTCAGAGTGTGCAGTGCGCACATGTGGCCATCTCATGTCACTCAAAATCTCCAACCTTGACCTTCCCATCTTCTGCCCATCTCCCCTCCATCTTCCCGCCTTGCTCTCATGCCCGCAGCTGCTGGTCATCATATCGGAGTGTGCGCGCGCTATCAAGGAGAGACTTTAGGTCATTCAAACTTATTCAAACTTTTCCCTTTCCTCCCATCTCCCCTCCGTGCGGTCATGCCCTCAGCTGCTGCTCATCATATCAGAGTGTGCGCGCGCTATCAAGGAAATCCAGCCGTTGGTTCGGTCGTTGTGACATGGAGGAGATGCAGGCAGCTGAGGTTAACACTATAGGTTCCAATTATTCTGTACATGTCGTGTAACACTTGGTGCTTCATTAATACGTGCAAACAGATATGGTACACTTGAGCTAAACCTGAACTGTTGCAGTATGGAAAAACCAATATGCTACCAAAATGATGTGTACCACACTTTCTCCACTTGTATTTGTAGTGCCATTTCACTCCAAAAAGCCTTTTCTCTTGACACGATGCTACAATAGATGGATTCCTTGTGCAACAGTGGATGCCGCCCCCTTTTGAGCCCTCTTGCCCTCCACTTTGTACAACTCTTTTGTCTGTTTCTTTGCCTCCCTCGCCGCCCATTTCTGATTCTTCACTGCCTCCTGCAGAAGTGAAACAGAGAGAGGTTGAGTGCGGTGGAAAGAGGATGAGTGAGAAGCAAGAGGCAACACAGAGCGGTTGCTTGTGGTGAAAAGAAAGGGGTTGCTTAAGGTGTTGAGATGTCTTAAAAGTGAGACGCAGAGAGGTTGATCGTGGTGGAAAGAGGGAGTGTGAAGAGAGGGGTGTTAAAAGTGAGGGGGGCGTGGGGGGGAGAAGAAAGAGGAGACGCATAGGGTGAAAGCACCACTGGGCACTGGGTACTGGGCACTGGGTACTGGGTACTGGGCACTGGGTACTGGGTACTGGGTACTGGGCACTGGGCACTGGGTACTGGGTACTGGGCACTGGGCAGCACTGGGTACTGGGGGTACTGGGCACTGGGCACTGGGCACTGGGTACTGGGGACTGAGTACTGGGCACTGGGCACTGGGTACTGGGCACTGGGCACTGGGCACTGGGTACTGGGTACTGGGTACTGGGCACTGGGCACTGGGTACTGGGTACTGGGCACTGGGCAGCACTGGGCACTGGGCACTGGGGACTGGGTACTGGGTACTGGGTACTGGGCACTGGGCACTGGGTACTGGGTACTGGGCACTGGGCACTGGGTACTGGGCACTGGGCACTGGGCACTGGGCACTGGGCACTGGGCACTGGGCACTGGGCACTGGGCACTGGGCACTGGGCACTGGGTACTGGGTACTGGGTACTGGGTACTGGGTACTGGGTACTGGGCACTGGGCACTGGGCACTGGGAACTGGGCACTGGGCACTGGGCACTGGGCCCTCATCATTCCTTCCCACACACCATACCCCATGAACCTTACACAGCAGCACCCCCTACCTTGCGAGCTTTCTTCTCTTCAGGAGTCTCCTTGTCCTTCCCTCTCGGCCGTACAAACACAACACCCCCTCCCTCCCCCGCCCCTTCCCCCTCCTCCCCAATCCCCTGCAACCCACCCCCCTTGCCACTCCCTCTCCCCTCCTCCCCCTCCCTCCCCTCTCTCCCCACTCTCCCCGGCACAAAACCAGCAGGCAACTGCGCTTTCCCCTTCAGCCTTATCTCCTCCACCCCAATCCTCCCACCACCTCCCCCTACACCTCCCCCTCCTCCTGCCGCCGCCTCTCCCGCCCTGCTCCCCTTTCTGCGGGGATTTAAAGGCGCCGAGATTCGTGCAGGGTGGTTATCAAGGTTAGAGTAGGTAGAGACTATCGACTCGCAGTCCCACTTGCCCCTCTCCCTCTCCTCCTCCTCCTCCGAAATATATTCCTCCTCCTCTTCCTCCTCCTCCTCCTCTTCTTCCTCCTCTTCATCCTCTTTCGTGTCCCCTGCCTTCCCACCCATCTCTACCTCACCAGGGGCAATGGGAACAGCCACTATCTCTTCTTCTCCATCCTCTTCGCCCTCCTCTCCCTCTTTTCCCTCACTTCCCTTCGTTTCTCCCTCCTTTGTTCCCCCACCCTCCCCCTTACCCTCGCCCTTCCCCTTCCCCCCGCTCTCCCCCTTCCCCCAGCCCTCCCCCTTCCCCATCCTCACAACCGCGCCCCCCTTCCGCAGCTCCAGCAGGCTCTCCCGCCGGGAAGCTTCCAGGAAGTCGTCCAGCACGTTACTGAACATGGAAATATCCGCATGCCCTGCAGCAGATCCCGCCGCCCCCCCGCCGCCCCGGTGACCTCCGTCCTCGTCATCAGAGAAGTCGTCCACGTCAGCATCGGCGTATTCCCGCTCAGCCAGCTGGAGGAGTGAGTGAGAGGCAGCAGGGTCAAGGAATGACGGGAAGGAGACGACAAGGGTTTAAGGGTTTAGGGAAAATTCTCCTCTGTCTGGGTGATGTAAGATTCTCTTATGAACGGGTTTAAAACACTCTCAACTTGAGCGCGACCAAGCACGAATTCCTCCTCTCAGCACCACTAAGCACCACTCAGCACATCTCACCATGACCAAGCACCACTCACCAGCATCACTTGCTCTTCCAGCGCTCTCAGATTCTCCTCCGCCTGGGCGCGGCTCTTAGCCTCCTCTTCCGCCCTCCGCCGCGCCTCCTCCCCGCCCGCCGCCGCCTCCCTCCGCTGCGCCTCCGCGCCCGCCGCCGCTTCCCCGCCAAGCTTTCCGCTTTCACCCTTAAACCCCGAACCCTCAACCTCGCTTGCAAGGCTTTCCGCGCCTGGCGCAACGACCGCATCCACTGCCGCTCCCCCGCCCGCCGCCTCTTCCGTCAACTCCTCCCCCTCCCCTTCCCGCGCTACCTCGTTCCCCCCATCTTCCGCCTCATCCGCCTCCGCCGCCTCCTCCTCCTCCTCCCCCCCCGCCGTCGCCAGCAGCACAAAGTCATCTTCTAGCTCCCCAAAAACATCTTCCCCCTCCTCCCCCGCCCCCACTTCCCCCGCTCCGCCGTCCCCTTCTAGCAGCGCTAAAACTTCCGGATCGAGCCCTGAAACGCCTAGGTAGTTTGCACTGCCTTCCCCGCCCGCGGATTCCCCCGCTTGAGCTCCCGCGGAAGCCGCCGCCACGCTTTGAGCTGAGCGGGCGGGCGGCGCGGCGGCTGTGAATCCCCGCTTCGGCCGAATCTCCTTGATGACGGATGAGATCTTAGCCACGACCTCCAGGTCAGCAACCGGCGCGTCGGCGGCTGCTGTCGTGGCAGCTGACGTGTCGGGCCGCACGGTAAGGCGCGTGGCCTTATAAATCTGCGGTGGGCGGATGCATATCAATGAAGGGTATGGATATTTAGTATGCTTATAAGAGCGGGGGTGGTGTAGTGCAGCACGTGGGGATTCGAAGCTTACAGGGGAGGGAAAAGGGGGGGTTGTGGGAGGGGGGGGGGGGGCGCATGGCGGATGGCAACAGCGGACAGCAGCTGCCGTCACGAATACAACAATCACACCTTCACGTCGTCGGGCAGCGCGACTTTTGAGGCGCCTCAAAGGTCGAAACACGTGGATACCAGGTGTACACTAACCGACGTTAATGCGTGTAGATAATCCGAGAAAAACAATCGCACCTTCACGTCGTCGGGCAGCGCGGCCGCGGGCGCCTCGGCGGGAACGAACGACGCGAACGTCCTCGTCTGCCCGATCACCCGGAGGTGCTGCGTGTAGTCGTAACCGTCGTCGGGTAACCCTAATTCGACAATTTCGCGCCGGGCGCTCTCGGTGAGTTTTTTCTTGCCCTGCCCGCCGGCCATGCTTCCTCCTCCTCCCATCACGCTCCCCCCATCCCACCCGGGCGGCCCGCCCAACCCCAGGCCCGCCCATAAGTCGCGCCCCCTCCCCCCACCGCGCCTCGTGCTCGCGTGCGACCGGCCTGCGACCGACGCCGCGTCGTCGCCATCAGTCGCGCGTGCGACAGCCTGCGACTGCGCTCGGGACCTCCTGCTTCCGGCGACGCTTCTCCCCTCCCCTTCCTCCTCCTCCCCCTCCTCCTCCTCCTCCTCATCCTCCTCCTCCCATTCCTCGCCGCTATAATCCTCCGCGTTTTCCGGGATCGGCGGCTGGTAGTCGTCCGAGAATCCCGGAACGTGGTTGCTGCCGGGGTCTGTGCGCACGAAGACGCGCTCACCGGGCGCATCGGGGTCGTTCGATTCGCGGTACATGAGCGTGAACGACGCCGCGCTCTTCTTGTCCACGAACTTCTTCTTGCGACCCATCGCTGCGAACGAGCGAGCGACGACGGAGAGAGAACGGAGTGGCGATCGGATCGGAGTAAGTCACGCAGCGAAGAATGGGAGTAGCCGACGAGTCGAACGGCTGTTATGCGGATTTCTATTTCGATATGTGCTGCTTGGGTTCCACTTTTTGACGGGGCTGGCTGGGAGGGTGTGGTGAGGGGTGGAGCAGTGAAATGGCCGTTCCCACCCACCCTGTCGACGAAGGCGCAGCGTGCAAAATGCGAGCTGCGTGGGGTTTAGAATAGCGGGCGAACGTTTTCGCGGATTTCGGAGTTACCATTCACGAAGTAGGATGGTAACTCCCTGGTGGGGATCCCAGCTGTTGGGAGGGAAGAAGGGCTCGGTGGATAACCACATTTGGGGGATTCATGATCCCCTGTCTCAGCGAAACATGTCGTAAACAGACTCAATAGAATTCCCAACCCTTCCCCGCATGATGCGACATCCCTCGTTGACATTCTTCATTTCGCTAAACCCGTTTCGCAAAAAACCGAGTTCCCTCTGATCCTCTACGGTTCGGTCCCCATATACCCACCCCCATAACTAATCTCCCCCTCTTTTTCGCTCCTTAGCTTTCTGCTTTTCGCTGCTCCCCGCCTCCCGGCGTCGCGACCTCGTTGTCTGGTTAAAGCGGTAGCTCCGTCCAGCTACCCACCTTGTCGGCCGCTCCGGCGCGACTTGGGCCTTTCTGGGCTTCTCAGGTCCCGTACATACCTCCTTTTATTCGCTAGATTTTGTATTAAAACAAGCGGTTTTTTTTTAGCCCGTAAGTAAGCAAAAGTAAAGCAAGCTAGCAGCAATGGGTTTCAAGGGAACTAAGGCGGAGAAGA